TCATTTATAATAAAAATTTAAAAATAACAATTATTAAAAAGGCAGCACTTTACTAGGTGCTTACTCTGTGCCTGACATTATGCTAAAAGCTTTATAAACATTATCTTCTTAACAATTTCTCACAACCCTCTGAAATAGCTACCATCAGATTCTCACTTAGGATGAGATAATCGTGGTTCAGAGAAGCTGAGTAATTCACCCAAGATTGCACAGCAAGTTAGAAACAGGGCTAGGGCTCCAAAGTGCAGACTATATGATTCCAGGGCCAGGATTCTTCCATCTTCTCCACTTTCTGTGGGAGGAAAGGAAGGGGCCAGAGTCTCAAGTTGCTCTGACACTGTGGGTCATGGTGATGCCCCAGAACCACACAGGTGCTCAGCTAGTACAACTGAGGGAATCTCGAGAAGGCCCTAAATCCAGGAAAAAAAAAGCAGGAGTGGAGGTTTATGTGGGGCCAGCTCAGTGTGGCAGAGAATCCCTGGGGTACCACAGGTTACAGCTGCATTATAACCTTCTTTTATCTTGTGTCATCAGTTTGCTGCTTTTAAGAGACAGAAAAAAATCACGCTAAGAATATAAATGCTACCAGCCTGAGCAAGAGCGAGACCCCGTCTCTACTAAAAATAGAAAGAAATTAATTAGACAACTAAAAATATATAGAAAAAATTAGCCGGGCATGGTGGCACATGCCTGTAGTCCCAGCTACTTGGGAGGCTGAGGCAGTAGGATCGCTTAAGCCCAGGAGTTTGAGGTTGCTGTGAGCTAGGATGACGCCACGGCACTGACTCTAGCCCGGCCAGGCAACACAGTGAGACTCTGTCTAAAAAAAAAAAAAAAAAAAAAAGAATATAAATGCTTAAGTCACACCCTGTCCCCAACTTTAGCACTAGTTAGTCTTCTTATTACATAAAGTTAGAGGCACACATACAACAAACCCACTGATTACTCCTGTTGGGGTGGATGGAGGATTTTAGGGATGATATACAGATGTTCCTCCACTTACGATGGATTTACATCCCCATAAATCCACCTACATCTAAAATGCATTTAATACACTTACTGTACCAAATATAATAGCTTAGCTTATCCGACCTTTTTTTTTCTTTTTGAGACAGAGTCTCACTCTGTCGCTCCAGCTAGAGTGCCATGGTATCAGCCTGGCTCACAGCAACCTCAAACTCCTGGGCTCAAGTGATCCTCCTGCCTCAGCCTCCCGAGTCGCTGGGACTACAGGCACGTGTCACTACACCCAGCTAATTTTTTCTATTTTTAATAGAGATGGGGTCTCACTCTTGTTCAGGCTGGTCTTGAACTTGATTACTCAAGTAATCCTCCCGCCTCAGCCTCCTGGACTGCTAGGATTACAGGCGTGAGCCACTGCGTCCAGCCAGCTTACCCTACCTTAAACATATTCAGAACACTGATATTAGCCTACAGTTGGGCAAAATTATCTAACACAAAGCTTATTTGATAATAAAGTGTTCAATATCTTGTGTAATTTATTGAATACTGCACTAAAAGTGAAAAACAGAATGGCTGTATGGGAACTTGAAATAGTTTCTAATAAATGAGCATCGCTATTGCATCACCATGAAGTCAAAAGATTTTAAGTTGAAACATCCTAAGTTGGGGACTGTCTGTACTCTCAAGCCACAGCAAACTTTTAGTTCAGTTAGGCCGGCTTTTCCTCACAACCCAGAGAGCACATGTATACTTTCCCAAATAGAATCTTTACAAAAGGCAAATTTAAAAATTAAAATGTATTTCAAAAAATTGATCACATCACTTTCAAAGCAAAAATAGCCAATTCTTAGGGTCACCAACCTTTAAAATTATCCATACCACACCTTTTATGTCTGTAGATAAGCAAAAGTCAATTTTTAAGGAGACATATCCCATATTTCATGGAGTACCGGTACAACACAAGAAAAGGAAAGATGTTTTCTGATTCAAGCAGCAGAGACAGAATGAATGAATGAATGAATGGTCTCCAAGCCCCTCATATTACAGGTGGAGAAAAACAGAGTCCCACAGAAAGTTCCACAAAATCCCAGTCTCCCAGACATCCTAACAGCTACCCCATGCCAGGCACTGGGCTAAACTCTTTACAAATATCCTCAAAGTGAATTCTCACAATAGGCCCATGAGGCAGGTGAATCATAAATCAATACCTACTATACAAACGAAGAAGGTAAGGCACAGAATGGTTAAATAACTTGCCCAAGGAGGCACAGCTGACAAGTGGTGGAGCTGGCATTTGAATCCATAGTTCGACCCCAGAACTTTTGCTATGTACCACCTATTCTTTTAACTTAGATATCCTGGACCTTATCCTTAGAAGGGGTGTGGCTGGGATAAGAAAAAAATTGTAAACATTTTAAAATAACCTAGAGGGTGAGTGGGATCCAAAAACCAAATCCCAAGACTTAGAACTACAAATGTAAGATTTGGAAGCTTAATCAGAATAGAGAATCCCACAAGAGAGGAGAGATATCACAAAAACATATTTTATTACTAGTTACTGCATGTGTCCCTTAAAGAACTAAAACACCAGCATCTGAGCCAAAAAGAGGGCTAAAAATAGGCATTTGCAGCAAGCTTTGGAAAGCTTTTAGCTTGCTTATGAGGCACTCATTTCTGTAGACTCCCAAAAACATATGCATCACAGAACACAAAAATTCCCAAGACCACACAGCCACTCCACTGGTGTCACATTTAAATTTGTCCAAGCTGCAAATAAAACCAGGGCTGGAAAAGGGCCTTAGAGATCCAAAAAGGGCCACCACCTAACTTTACCAGACAACCCAATCACACAGAATTCTCTCCCAAAAAGCACCCAAGCCCCAACAGGCTTAAAAAGAGAAGCTACTGGATTAACTCAGTCTGTCAAAGACTATTTCAGAGTTTCTAAACCAACGTGTAGACATTCTCTTAAGATGCCAGAAAAACAAGGAGAGCGCAAACCTATTCCGCTCAGAATTTTGCTTTGGGCACTTAAAGCAAGTCACAGAGAGAAAGGCAAGGTGCCAGCCAAGCTGTCTTCTTCCCACGATCAATAACCCCAGTGACGCACACTATCAAGGGCCCCTGGACTTAACACAAAATGCCAGCTCAGGCACCCAATACCACCTGATGTCATGGCTGATTTAAAACCCACAAGGCAGGATCACTATTAGCTAAGCAGCAGCAGCCAGAGTGAGTAGCCCCATTTAAACTTCTGAGGAGTGCTCTCTCCTGTGGATGATTATACCCTTTTGAGTTTAAAGAAAGGGGAAGGACCAAAGAGTGTCTTAAAGTTGTTTTCCCTTCCTCTGTGGGTGGATAGGAGGGATTTAAAAGAAAATGGAAGTTTCAGCACTGCCCTTTGCATAAGAGGATTCTGGAAGGGGAAGGAGGGAAGAGGAGGGTAGAAGGAAGAGAACATGGTCCAAGGTACTGTTAGTAAACCCCAAATGTCCCTCCTCCAAATGAAGCACCCTGAAAAGAAATAAAAATTGCTTCATGCTGTTTTCAGGATTAGCTATTCTGGCTTCCTAAGACTATGAGTGATTCTACTCCATTGAGTGTGAAAGCATTAAGCTCCCCCTTCAACTTTCCCCATTTTGATAGTTTAAACCAGTCAGCCTCAACCAGCTACTGCAGAAGGGGAGGAGTTTGGAAAAAGCACTGAGGCTACGGCCACAGGCCACCGTTCTAACTATAAGCCAGTTTTAATACTGACCCGCTTCCAAAGGACCCAAAACGAAAGAATCAAGACCCACTGTGCAAAGGCAAAGAGAGGAGAGAGGGCACGCCCCCCACCCAAGCCCGCGATCTATTCTCGGCAAAGGGAGGCCAAGAGCAGACTCCATATTCTGCACCGCCTCTCTCCCCACGCTGACGCGGCTCTGCTGGGATTTCCTGCACCCTCGCCTCCCCCAAAAGGACCAAAACACGGAGAAGGTACAGAGAGACTCTGGGAGCGCCAGCCGGCGGTCACATGCCGCTCTCCGCGCGCGGAGGCACCACGTTGTCCCGGCTGCGGAGGAATGCCGGGAAGGGGGACGCGCACTCACACTCACGCACACTTCGGCCTCGCCGCCGGCCCGCACCCGCTTTCCACCCCGAGCGCGGCGACCCGCACCGAACGCTGAGGCCGAGCGGCCGCGAACAGCCCGCTGACCGCCGGCGCGGCGCATGGCGCCCAACTGTCACCCGCCTGCCCAGCCCGGCCACTCCCTCCCCCGCCGCCACACGCCCCTCGTGTCGCCGCATGCCCCTCACCCGCCTCACATTTTCCGCCAACCCCCTAACTGGTTCCTCAGCCCATTCACCGTCGGGCTCCTTCTTAACGCGGAAGGTGCTCGGGATCGTGGAGGGAAACCACCGAACTCAATGACACGTTGGGTTTTCTCTTCTCCCCGTTGTCCCCCGTAACTGACCCCTGAACCCGTCTCCAAATGGCGACTCTACCCCCTATCATCTACTCGGGAACAAAACTTGTTAACTTTCAAACCCCGAATCCGTGCGGTCGACATGAACTCCTCGCCGGACGCTGTGCTTGTTGCCCATGACATGCTCATTAAACATTTGCAACATGGGGACGCTCGCGACGCTACCAAAACGGGGAGCGCAGGCGGGATGGGAAGAGGGGGCTTCCTGAGTAAGGTTCAAACCAGAAACCGTCTCTTACACCAACACGCGGTGGGGGACAGAGGATCCTTTTCACCCAAACCAGCGCCCACCCACTCACGGCGAGGTAGGCCCGGACCACGCCGTTGCCCACTAACCGCTGCGGCCCAGGCGGTGGCCGTGGCCTCCCGGAGGCCGGGCCCTCGGGCAGGGGCAGGTTCCCTCGTTTGTGGTGGGGGCAGGGCACGGCAACCCGCATTAACCAGGAGGCAATAAGAAAAATTCCCGAGTCACCACGGACCCCCGGGCCCCGGAGGCCGCTGGGGGAGGGGACGCCCAGGTCTCCGGAAGAGGCCCCCGGACCCAGGAAAGCAAGGAGAGAGACCCACCTGGAGGAGACTGTCCGTTCACGGTGGTCAGGACCGGCGGCAGCGCGTTCTTAGTCCACGGGTTCACCTTGGGCGGGGGGGCTTCTACGAAGTCTCGGCGCCCGGCGCCCGCCGCTCCGGTAGGTCCTCCGCCGGCGCACGGCTCGCCACCGCCTTCTTCCCCGTCGCTGACGGTCGGGCCCTCGGTGCCGAGCGGCTGCGGCAGCCGCGGGCTCTCGCGCTCCTGCTGCCCGGTGCCCTCCTTGTGTGGCTTGGCGCAGGGCGGCCGGAGTCTCCGGGCGCCGCCGTCCGGCTCCCCCCCGCCGACGTCGTTCGCCCCGGGCTCGCCCTTGGCCTCGGGCGCCGGCGGCGGCTTCTTCCTCACCAGCCCCCCGTGCTCTTCGGCCTGCAAGAGCGGGGCGCCCCCCGGGAGCAGCGGCTCCACCTGAGTGGCCATCTGCGCGCCCGCCCCCCCCGCCAGAAGCCGGGCGCGCCCGAGGCTGCCTCCCCCGCCTCGAACTTGGCTCACAGAGCGCCCGCGACGCCTTCCTCAGGGACGCCGGGCCCCAGTCCCTGCGGAGAAGGATCGGGATTCCCGCTAGGCGCGGCCCCCCTCCCGGTCGGATGCAGCCGCCGTAGATCCGAGGCCCGCTGGCGGGGCGGGGGGGGGAGGAAGGCCCCCCACTCTGCGGTCCAGGCCTCCTCGGCGTGCGTCCCCCCCCGCCCGTTCCTCACAAGACGCCCCCACCCCGAGCCCGGCAGGCTTCTCGTCCGGTCCCTCCCTCCCCCCCGCCCCCGGGGCGGCCCGGGCTTCCCGGCTCGGGGGCTGCAGCAATATGGACGGACAGGGATAGGCGCGGCGAGCCAAGCCGACCACGCGATCCGCGGCAGGCGGCGGGCGGGCGCGCGCCTCGCGACGCGGCGGGCGACGGGAGGGGACTGCGCAGCGGGGGCGCGCCCGCCGGGCCGGTCCTTGGCGACGGGCGGGCAGGAGGCGGCGGGAGCGCGCGCGCACGGCCTTGCGGCCCCGCCCCTCGCCCCGCCCCTCGCCTCCGATTCCTCTGTGCACCTCCGGGGCTAGGGGGTGGGGTGCTCAGACCGGACGGGGGCGAGCACGTGCCTGATGCAATTCGGGATGGGGGGGTGATGAGGGGGGCAGGAGAGCTGGGGGGGTGAGGAGGGGGAGGTGTCTTAAAGGGCCAGCGCGTGAGAGCGGCCTCAGGTGAAGCACATGGGAACGGGCCACGCGGCCGGCCGGGCCTGCTCGCGCTCTTTAGGTTGGGTGCCAGATTCTGGGGAAGGAGCCATTAATGTCACCCCTGACTTCCATGGCGGGGGGGGGGCTCCTCATCCGCCGCGAGGACGCGCCGACGCCGTCCGCTCCCCTGTGCCCGGGGGGGCCTGGACCCTCCAGGCCCCGCCCGGGTGACCTTTGGCGAGCCGCCCTCACCTCCGTGGGTTGTGCTCCGCTCCTCCCCGCGGCCCGGCCTCGACACTGCCCCGAGATGGGTTCACTGGGGCCTGGAAGGCAAGCCCTTAGCCCTAGGGGCAGCGGGCGCCGAGAAAGTGGGAACAGAATTACCAAGGATCCTCACTTGGGCCAGGCCTTCCCCCCCACCCCCCAAACCTAGTATTTATGGGCAGGAAATGTCTTTTCTTTCAAGTGAATTTCGTTTTTTCTAAAGAATTGCTTTAGGCGGAGCTGAACCAACGCTCCATTGGGACTTCTGAGATCTGAGATTTTATCCTGGCCCTTACCAACTCTGCAGCAGTTACTGCCACTTCCTTGGGCCTCAGTTTCCCTCGTGTATAATGAAGGAGTGGTGTTTTCCGGCGGTTTCAAACTTAAGTGTATATTCAAGTCAATAAATATTTACTGACCTCGAACGGTGGCGGGGCCTTCAGGGTTCTAGGAAACAGGTTTGTCAATAAATAAGGCTAACAAAGCCCCCATGGAATTTACCTTCTAAGGTGAGGAAAGAGACAATAAATTAAGTGATAAACAAATTCTTGTCTAGTGTCTATGACAATAATTACTGCTGTAGTGAGTTAGCCTAGATGGGCTTCCTTAGTTTGGGTGACAAGGGAAGACTTCTTGAACGCCAACTCCAAACTCATCGGAATCAGGCCTGGTCTGGAATTGGACCTAGAAATCTACATATCTAGCGAGATCCCTTAGGTGCTTAAGGCACCAGGTGGTCCCACTTCACTTGAAGAAGACCTGGCCTGTACCTGGCTGTGATCCTGACTGCTCAAGACATAACATCTTGGAATGTTGGCCATCTCCAAAACAAGAACGAGAGCCCATGACCTGCTGGATCAAGGAGAGGACTTAATGAAAAGACTTGGAACTTCCCCAGCCAGTAAGTGTGGACTGTAGGATTGTGGTAACCAGGAGTACTGGGTAGAAGTACTGGTGGGGATAGCCAGGCAGTCTGATGTCTAGTTCCAGCTCTTGGCCATCCACAGTATCTCACGAATGTAATACCGGCTTTTTGGGAGGCCAAAGCAGGAGGATCACTTGAGCCCAGGAGTTCAAAGCCAGCCTGAGCAACGTAGCAGGACCCCATCTCTACAAAAAATAAAACAAAAAACTTAGCTGGGAGTTGTGGCACACACCTATAGTCCCAGTTACTCTGGAGGCTGAGGCAGAAGGATCCCTTCACTTGATCCCAGGAGTTGGAGGCTGCAGTGAGCTATGATTGCACCACTGCACTCCAGTCTACGTGACGGATTGAGACCCTGACTCTAAAAAAAAAAAGTCCCCCCCTTAACCAGGGGGAATACATTCCAAGACTCCCAGTGCATGCCTGAAACCCTAGATAGTACCAAACCCTATATATGTGATTTTTTTTCCTATGTTTACATACCTATGATAAAGTTTAATTTATAAATTAGACACAGTAAGAGATTAATAACTAATAATAAAACACTTATAACAATATACTGTAATAAAAGTTACATAAATGTTCTCTCTCAAAATAGCTAATTGTATGTAATATTTTCGTAGCGCAGTTGACAACATGTAATTGAAATCTCTGAAGGGAAATCATGGATAAGAGGGCCTACCATACTAGAAATAACCAAATAAATAATTAAGTGTAGCTACTTTTATTGAGTATCTATTATATTCTAATACTTGACCTTCATTATCTCATTTAATCTTCACAGTAACCCAATGGGATAAGTATTAATTTTTTCCCCAAATGTCTATTGAGCCCCTTCTGTGTGCCAGGCACTAGACTAGGCCCTGGAGCTGTCATTGTCTTCAATTACAAAAGAAGGCAACTGAAGTTCAGAAAAGAAAGTAAGGTTGGGTGGGTACCGTGGGCTCAAGCCTATAATCCTAGCACTCTGGGAAGGCTAGGCAGGACGATGGCTTGAGACCAGCCCAAGCAAGAGCCAGACTCTGTCTCTACAAAAAATAGAAAAATTAGCTGGGTGTGGTGGCATATGCCCATAGTCCCAGCTACTTTGGAGGCTGAGGCAGGAGGATCGCTCCAGCCCAGGAGTTTGAGGTTGCAGTGAGCTATATTGATGCCACTGCACTGTAGCCCTGGGACAGAGCAAGACCCTGTCTCGAAAAAAAAGAAAAAGATAAAAGAATAGGGTTTTGGCCCAACTTTGCCCGTTTCCTAACTGTGTGACTTTGGGCAAGTCATTTCACATCTATGAACTTCAGTGTCTCCATCTATAAAATAATGAAAAAGGAAATGCTTGCTTGATAAAATTCATTATGCCTTGGAGAAGTTTGAATGAGCCAGGTTTGCGAAAGTGTTCTATTATTCCGGCTCTGTCACCTATCAGCTCTGTAAATTCCTTTGCCGTTCTCTGCCTCAGTTACAATAACCCTCCACCTCTGAGGGTTATTATAAGGATTAAGTGAGTTAATATGCCCACAGTGCTTAGAACAACATACAGTAAATATTGAATAAATGTATATTATTATCATAAAGGAGGTAGTGGTCATTAGCAGAGTCAGGAAAAGCATTTTTCAAATCCCACAAAGAAGGCAGAACAAGTGTTATCCCGTTTTACAAATGAGGACCCTGAGGCTCAGAAAGATGAGATGTTTTATCTGAACTCATACTTCTGGTTGGTGGAAGCGCCAGGACTTCTAAAGTTTCCAAATCCAATGCCCTTTCCCCTTCAGATAATATTCTAGCTGTTGCAAGCTGTCAGTCAGCTGGCCAATTTCAGCCCCCAGGCATGTTTTGTTTGGCCCACACAGTATTTTTTTTTTCATTGAATTTAAACATGATTAGATGGGCACAGCACATACTGGTGAGCCTCAGGTCCACCCCTTCTGGTGTTACTTCCAGCCAACCTGTCTCATTTAGATCCCTGCACAAACTGATGCCATGCCAGTCACTAAACACATAATATAGAAAAGTTCAGGGGACAGAAGAAGAGGTACAGAGGACCCTAGGTGAGAAGTGGAAGGAAGAAGTAATCAAGGAAGCCTTCGTGGAGGTGGCTGGACTTGAGTTAGGGCTTGAAACTGGGGAGTAGGGTTTGTTCAGCGTAAAAAGGAGGAGATAGGGAAGATTGTTTTAGCATTTGGTGACCTTCAGGGATGTTTATGAACTTCTATGCCAAGGTTCCCTGAGGCCTTTTCCTCGGTAGAAGAGAGGAAAGAAATGAGCTGCCCTTTAAATCAGATGAAGCCATGTGACCCAGGAGGCCCAGAGTCAACACAAATTGTCAGTGCTTGTTGATCGAGTGATTGATCTGTGTCATTATCTCTGAGAACTCAGCACTGTGCAAGGCACCTGGAGAAAGGTAAAATTACATTAGCCGAAGTATGAACCTCTGCCTTTAATGATAATAATAGTAATAGTAATGATAACAGCTAACATTTATTAGGTTAGTGCAAAAGGAATTGTGGTTTTGGACCGTGAATTTTAAATAATTATAACTAGGCTCAAATATACCTTTATGAATCAAAATAGGAACCATTACCATCAACACATTTTTGCCAATGAGAAATAAGTTTTATTCCTGTAGCGTAAAAATCCATGCTTTGGGATTCGAGGAACTCTTGGAAAGCATTTTCTGCATCCTGCTGACTGTGGAAGCATTTTCCCTACAAAAAGTTGTCAAGATGCTTGAAGAAGTGGTAGCCGGTTGGCGAGAGGTCAGGTGAATATGGCGGATGAGGCAAAACTTCATAGCCCAATTCGTTCAACTTTTGAAGCGTTGGTTGTGCAAGGTGCAGTCGGGTATTGTCGTGGAGAAGAATTAGGCCCTTTTTGTTGACCAGTGCTGGCTGCAGGCCTTGCAGTTTTTGGTGCATCTCATCGATTTGCTGAGCGTACTTCTCAGATGTAATGGTTTCTCCAGGATTCAGAAAGCTGTAGTGGATCAGACTGGCTGCAGACCACCAAACAGTGACCATGACCTTTTTAGGTGCAAGTTTGGCTTTGGGAAGTGCTTTGGAGCTTCTTCTCGGTCCAACCACTGAGCTCGTCATCGCCGGTTGTCGTATAAAATCCACTTTTTGTCACACATCGCAGTCCGATAGAGAAATGGTTTGTTGTTGCATACAAGAAGAGAAGATGACACTCCAAAACGGTGATTTTTTTGATTTTCCGTCAGCTCATGAGGTACCCACTTATCGAGCTTTTTCACCTTTCCAATTTCAAATGCCAAACGACCATAGAATGGTCAAGGTTGAGTTCTTCAGTAAGTTCTCCTGTAGTTGTAAGAGGATCAGCTTCAATGATTGCTCTCAATTGGTCATTGTCAACTTCTGACGGCCAGCCACTGTGCTCCTCATCTTCAAGGCTCTTGTCTCCTTTGCAAAACTTCTTGAACCACCACTGCACGTACGTTCATTAGCAGTGCCTGGGCCAAATGCATTGTTGATGTTGTGAGTTGTCTTCACTGCTTTACGACCCATTTTGAATCTGAATAAGAAAATCATTT